CTTTCCTTCTGGCCATTAGCTCCTACTCACACCCACTGGATGGGATCTCCCAAGAGCAGGTCCCAGGGACCTGTGGCTCTGCCACACCAAGCACACCCCAGAGCTGCTTTGACTTGGCACTCCTCAAACAGACAGCAGCAGAGAATAATGAGTTGTGATCAACCTTATGCAGTTTATAATTATTTTTTAACAAAGTAATTTTACTTTAAATGTGACAGCATTCCTTTCCTGGAGATTTTGCTACATTTCTCAAGAATCCTCACTACTAGCACAACACAAGTCCTTGCATGCTGCTTGTAAATAAGAGTAGACCAGTAAGGTGCTATATGTAAGATTCAGACACCTTAAACTATTTTCTAAATTACTCAGAAAGAAAAATCAGCATTTTTATTTCAGCTTTTCCCAAAAAAAGTTTTACCGTTATTTTTCCATATGCTATGAGTCAGTGAGTTTCTGATTCTATGGACTGCAGTACAGCCATAAAAAGTATCTCCAGGTTAGAAGTACTTGCAAAGAATCATGTAACACATTGGTGCATTTGGAGGAGATAAATCTGAAGGAAGTATTTTATCTTATGTCATGTAAAATTTGATACTGCCCTCACATCCTCATAAAAGTGACCGTTCTCTTCCAGGAGATGACATAAAACAATAAAGGAGCAACGTTTATGTGCACTATTAAATGTTTCAGAATGTGCAAAGAGGTTGTTTGGTTTGGACTGCTCAAATTTGAATCTAAAGGGGATCACAGCTGCAGTCCCACGGCTGCAGGCAACACAGCTGCAGGAAGAGTAACCACAAAAGGCTTATCAGAAATAGAGTGCACCAAAGATTTTGTCAGAAGGCAAAAGTGTGTCGAAAAGTCAGCACAGCAACAATAAATCCTGTTATATCAACCACAAACACAGACTGGAATTAGCTGCACTGATGACAAATCTGATTTGGTACATGTGGCTAAGAATTCGTGCAAGAAACATGAAATAATCTTCCACTACACCAGGCTGCTCAGAGCCCTGTCCAATCTGATCTTGAACACTTCCAGGGATGGGGCATCAACATTTTCTCTGGGCAACCTGTGCCAGTGCCTCACCACCCTCACAGGAAAGAATTTCTTCCCAATATCTAATCTAAATCTACTGTCTTTCAGTTTGAAGACAAAACAGAATATCTTCAACTGAGATAAAAAATGTCAAATTACCATTTTAGAAAGCAGGGGTTGAATTGCTTCAGGCAATCATGGATTGAAGTCCTATGTTCATCTTTCTCCTGTGCCTGTATTACATAGACCAGGGGCAGCAGATAGCACGTGGTGTTTCAAGCACCTGGGGAACTTTATGCATAGAAATTAAGGTATCCTAGAAATTATTGGAATTATTGGTCACTTCTTGTCAGGAAATTTTTAAAAATTTGAATCCTAAAATTAAATTTAGACTTTCTCAGTTGTCCAAGTGTCACTGCAAAAGTTCCACTCTAGGCTACCAAGTTGCTTTGGCATGGACTGTCCGACATTCCCCTGCTGGAGCCTTCACTTCACACAGCTCTGCCTTCAGCATGTCTGAAGTGAAAACAGGACTGAAAGATGCAATCTAACAAAGAAATTGTTTCAGATTACAAATATCTTATTTATAATTTACAACAGGATTCAAAGTATTTTTCTGCTGCTGCCTTCAGAAGAAACTAGATACACACATATAAATATTGCTGGGAAGGGTAGCTGCTTCGTAGAGATGTCTTACTGTAACAATTTTTTGCCTCAAGAATTTCAACTTAACCTCCTACTGAAAGTAAAGTTGCTTTTTAAAAAAAAAAAACAACCTGAAATGGATTTATTTTTGTAAACTTCTGTAGAAAGTATTTATTTTGCAACCATGGTGCTGAAATTAAACAGCTAGATAGATACATGTTTATATTCCTGCAGCCACAGGATTTTTTTTAAAGACTTCATGAATGTGTTGCTAAGAAACCAAGTCTTTCATAGACATACATCTATGTCACTCTTTAACTTATCCTAATTATAAACAATTTTTTTAATTGCATTTGAAATTACATTTTTAATATCCAACCATTGTCCAATCACATCAGACATCATTTTGTTTACAAGAAGCAAAAGAAAGGAACAAGTGGAGTAAATGGGTTTGTTCTTAAAGCATCATCACTTGGAGTTCCTGAAGTGTTTTTACAGGAAGCCTTTTTCCCCACACAAGGAGGGTCAGACCTATTACAGCAATCAGTTGTGATTGACTCAACCTTTGGCATTTTTGTGTTATTAATTCTTCCTGTAACTTGCTGAAAATATTATGTTTGTTTGTTTTCTGTTTCTTATTAATAAATTGTACAGAGTGAGACCTAATGGTTCAGGGCTTGCACAATTTTCAGGCTCTGCTCAAATCCCTGTTTCTGCCAGCAGATCTGTTCCTCGATTGCACTGCCTACCTCCTCTAAACATAAATCTCTACTACATTTCTCTGGAGACACACAGAACTTTTTCCTATGGCACCCCTTAAGGGAACAAAAAAAAATTAAAAACCCACAAACTTTGTAGTCAGAGATAGCATTCAAGATACTTGAGCTAGAAACTGTGGACCACATAAGGGTATTGCATCCATCTGCACAAAAACAGAGCACCAGCTACAAAAGGGTCAGACTACAAATCTGTTTTGATTTCCCAGACACTATAAAAGTGAACTGAAAACCAGAAAATGTATGGATTACTACTTACCAAGGACAAACCCGTAACAGATGATCAAGACCTGCAACTGTCATTGTCTTTCAGCCTTCACCAAAAAAAAATTGAGACCTAATTAAATAAGCAGGAAAGCTTGCAAAAGCCTGAAGAAAGTATGAGTTAAAGAATCTGTGAGTTACATTTAAGGATCTCTAATGATAAGCAAGTGTAAGTCCTGCTCACTAGCCTGCCCTCCTCCCACCAAGGGCATGGGGTCCCAAAACAACTGAGTAAAACCAACAACAAATATTCTGGTGTAGAGAGAGCAGTTTACTTGATAATCTGAATTATTCTGTTTAGAAGATAAGAAGGTCTCCCTCCAAATTATCCAACTCGATGTTTCTGGTCACCAGAAAGCAAGCTGTGATAGTGGCTGTACCAAGCAGAGAATCAAATATTATATTTTACCCATTGTTTGCCCAGCTCCAGTGGCCAAGACAAGAACCTGTGAGACACACAATAATTGTCACCATCACTCTCCACATTGCTGCAGCCATTGGTAAGGAGTAACACACCTTTAAAAAGTCATTTTTATGAGAATACAAAGCATGTTGCTACTGAACCAATCAACACAGATTTAATGGGCAATATTTTCCACCTGAGATACACCCTCAGTATGAAACAAGAGGTACTGGAACTCATGTTTGTTTTTTTTTCCTTGCAGCTATTCCTCACCATAATAGTAAACTTGGGGTTATCTCGAGAGCACAAAATGCATTTTAAACAGCCTCTATTCTATCTCACTTTTGAAATATTGTTACATTGTTAGTATTTAAAAATTTCTTAGTAAGTATCAAAATTAACTGATATTCAGCAAGAAAACACCATCTGTTTAAACAGTAAATACTTCCCTCAATATAATGCAGCAATCCTTAATAGAAAGTCATTGTTTGCTGAAATGAAAGACCAGTTTTGCCATTTTTAATGGTGGTAATTGAAGTTAAAACTGAAAAGCATCTGGGGTTTTTCAAGGAAGCAGTAAAAGTCACCATAGGCATAGTAAATTCCCTTGGCACTTGAGCACTCTTCCCAAGAAAATTAAATCTCATTCCCATCTCTGCTGTTATTCATTGAAGTAGAGCAGAGATCTGTAACATCCTGAAGCACTGCCTTGGCAGGTAAGGCACATCTGAAAGGTTCCAACATCTTGGCTGTGGAACTGCTACATATTGCTATTCCTGAAAGTGTTGCTAACATATCAGACTAAACTTATAGAAACAATATAGAGAAATCTGAAAACAAACATGCAAGGTGCACCCTTTGTCTCAAGAATCGTATCTAAAAGGCCTTGAATCTTGTTCTCCATCTCTTGTTCTCTATCCAGGTAACAAACTACAGGTATTTGCATAATCCCTGTGATGAGCAGCTGGTTACTGATGGTTTCTTTCCTCAGCACCTTGATTCAGCCCAGGCTGGAACTTCATTTTAGGATAATGTTTCCTGATATAGCCTGCTGTTGCTTAAAATCCCAATTAGATTAAAATATTCTCCCACCCTGAGGATTTCCTCAGTCATTAGTCAGAAATGAGATTCACTTTCTTCCCACCAGAGCACTTATTGCCCCTGCCTGCTCTGGAGGCACTAATTACTGCCAGCAGTAAATTGGCAGCTCATGTCTGCTCACATTGTTAGCCAACCTCCGAAGAGATCATCAGCACAGGGCTAAGCAGACTGTCCTTTGCTCCCTGCCGGGGCAATACTCAGATCCTAATGTGAAGCCATCCCACTGATTTTTTAATAATCTCATATTCTATAAAACACATAACTTTCTAATCATACAACACAGCACATTGCTGGCTCTTCTTTGAGATGAAATGAAATGAAATGATAATCCAATCACTTTCAGTGCTAACAGGTCCTTGGGTGACTATATCGTGAGCTGCCTCTGCAGGCTGTCACATCACTGAGCAACACAAAATATCAACAGCAAAACTCCCTTTTTTTTTCAGGATTCATAGTGTACATGAAACAGATTCTTGGATAAACATACTTTCATCCCAAGCACCAAACCACCTCAGTTCCACTTTTATTTGCATTTTCTAAGCATGGGTCAAGAACATGACCTTGTCTGCCTCAGACCAGCAGGTGCCCTGGGCTGCTCATGTGACAGCCGTGTACAAACACTGGTACCTCTTACCTGAATTCTCACTGGTGCCTTCACACACATGGGAGCAGCAGTGGTTGGCTTGAATCCAGTGTGATGGTTTTTGTCACAAGGATTATTTTTAGGAACTTAGGATCTTTTTTGTTACACAAAAACACCTTAGCTCTCGGGATACAGTTTGGTAACTTTAATGAGGCTTCGCAATTTACATTCAATGTGTATCAGTACACAAAATATAAGAAATCACATATACATATAAACTTTGCTTTGTTGTTTTACAAGCCCACCAGAATGAACAACACGAGCTACATTTATTCACACAACAATATGGAACATTTTCAAGCTTCATTCACCAATCAAATATCTCAACAATTTATGGACCAACATTATTTTGCAGCTGCTAAAACAACAATCTTCCATAAGGAACAAATAATTTATGTCAACAGATACACTGACATCACATTCTACAAAATGAAAAAGACAAGTTGAGCACTGACTGAATGCTTCCAGATTTCAGCAGAACTCACGTGAATCAATAGTGCAGAATTTATACCAGCATCAAATCTGTCCACCATTTATCAGCCCTATGACTGAAAAAAAAAAAAATCACAAACAGAAATTCTTTAGGGTAAATAAAGCCATTTCATTACAGGGTTATCTAACCCACTTATTTTTCAACCTTTTTAAAACAAAAAGGAAATAGCTTGAAAAAAAATAAAATAAAATTTAAACCTTTTGGGTTTTTATTTTCTGACTTACAAACTATTCTCACATACAACATGAATTTGTACTTCATGAATAGTTTTGGTCCCTTAGACTGCCTTCTTAGTGAATCTGTTTTTAACTATTTTGTTCAAATATACCAGCACTTCACTAACGTAGTTATTTGAAGTTAAGTAGGTAAAAAAAAACATAGACCTATCTTAAAACAATCTCTCTCATTTTTGGCTTCTGAACAGCATACAGTCACAAAAAACAAAGCTTCTTTTAGCAGCATTAAAGGTGAAGGGCCTTCCGTGTGAAGCTGTCCTGAAAATTGTCTGGTACGTTCAAGTTACTGAATGCTCTCAGCATTTCAGACACAGACCCTGCAAAAACTGAGCATTCAGCTTGCTTTCACAAACAAAACCCTGCTCCCAAAGCAGTTCCCTGCAGAGGTGCTCATTTGTCACATACATTTTCACAACACACATGTGACCTCTTACAAATGAAGCAGATGCACCACATGAGTATTTCAGTACATGCACTAGGGGAACGCTTCCAGAATCATCCTTCAGTTTGGGAGGGAGGGGAAAACTACTGTTTTCACAGAATAACCACTGCTTTATGCCTGTTACTCTCAACAAAATTTGTTGAAAGGACTAAAAGCTCACCAATACACCTCAAAACATAACTGTAAGGAAGCTGAGCTCATCTGCTTCTGTGTTCCCACAGGGAACCTCAGGTTTTGTCAGTGATTTGAAAGGAACACTAACACTGATGCAGAGTTTGCAGCTCTCCCAAAAATTCATGGAACAGTAAATAATCAAGAGGTCAAGTCAGTGAACCAAGCACAGTGGATCATTTAATGAACTGGGCATAAGCAAAATGTCTTTTATATGTACAGTTGGTAAATTCAATGCCTAGAAGCACAGAATACCCTTATGGAAAGGATACTTGACTTTATTCTAAAAACCAGTGACTCTGCAAAGGATTTGAGGGTATCGCTGGCAGAAAAAATCTACTCCTTTTAAAAATCACCCTGGAGATCACTTGAAGGCTGTTAAGGTGAAAGGTTTGGTGGGGAGTGTTATAAGGAGCCCTCTTCACTTTAGTACAACTTCCTACCTTTAGGAAGGGAAAAATATAGATGATTTAACATTCCACTACCAGTTTTGGAAGGGATGTATTCTAAAGTGAATTAAAACATTCAAGGGCATCTTTTGGAGTAGCAATATCAAGCTGGTAAGCAACAATAGCAAACCACTCACAATTTAAAACAAATGCCAAACCACTGAGTCTTGGAACTCATTTTAAGGTACTGCCCAGGTAGGAGCGTTGCCTCCATTATCTCTTCATAGACTGAGTTAAACTTTATCGTCCCATAGAGCTGAGAGGCTGGAGGTTTATCTGTCTGGAACTTCCTGGTGACTCTGATATTGCTGCAACCTTCAGAGAATTCTTGATGGAGCTGAGTTCCCACATGTGTAAGTTCATGACGTGCACGCCACAACATCCGCTTGTGATCTTGTACAGGTTTTTAAGAACAGCTTTCCGGAGAAGAATGTACACCCAGGGATCTAAAATCTGATTCCACGTGGCCATTCGGAGAGCGAAAAGTATCGTTTCACAGGTCTCCTTTGAGCGACCTTCATTAATCCCAATTCTGGCCATTGTCACCTGAAATGGGCAAGATTTTAGAATTATGCGTCAAAAAATACACCAAGAGAGCATTTAAATTATCTGAAAATTGAGTATTTTAAAATTGTACATTAAAAAACATACAAAGAGAACATGTAAATGAGAAAAATAGTTTCAACATTGTCTCTAATCTTACACGTTCACAGCATCAGTGCATCCAAAATTGCAATATGAATACTTTCAGGTATACAACATTTATCATCCTAGAAACCCTCCAATGTTTTACAAAGGAAATACATGTGCCTCTGCTGAATTACTTCTGCTGAACTTCAAGCAGAGGATGGCAACCAGCCAGGGAATACCCTCCAAAACAAGGGATTGATCTAAGCAACAAGTAAAAACTTAATCCAGAATTTGATCTAACAAAGTGTGCCAAGACTGTTCCAGAAATGGATTTTCTCAAGGACAGAATCCACTCGTAGGTCAGCAAGTTTTTATAACAGCTATTTATTTTTTTCACATTTTCCTAGTTAAATGATGCATAAGGAACACAGACCTTGGTTTCAACAAGAAGATTCACATTTTTTACACCGCAGCAGAGCACAATTTATTGAAACCAGAGGATTTAGAGGTCTGTAGGAAAATTTAAGCCATGGTGACAAAAGCCATTTGTCAGTGGAGACACAGAGGGTTTCATTCACCTCTGGAAGCGCTACACATGCACAGACCCCCACCAGCAACAACACTGCCAGAGCAAACAATTCCACATGGTGGAATTCCAGACCAGGAATTCGGCAGGGTGGCACCTGGCAGAGGGTGCCCAAGGGCTCCACCAGCCCAGCAAGCTGTGGCTCTGGCCCCCTGCTCTGCAGAGCAGTGAGCTGGGCTGTGAGACAGCCCCAGGGAAACTCAGGCCCTGGGACTCCTGCCCTGCAGATACCTCCTTTTCAGGCTGGCTGCCACTGGGAGTTTGTAACCTAAGTTCCTGTGTGAGGAAAGCCTGATCTGCCAAGCCAGGAATCTGCCAGAAGATGGTAAATTATCTCTCCCTGTTATTAAAGTTAAAGCCACATGAAGACTTTTTTGGTAGAAAGATGAAACACTATAAGGCTTTTAGTTCCAAAGCCTTTAAAGCACTGCAGTTATTTAACTAAGAAAAAGGATATTTTACAACTGATGCTGGGAGTACACTGATTTATTGGGCAATGAGAGGTAGGGTCAGGCTGTCCAAGTGCAGGGTTGTAGTTTCAAAAAGATGCACTGAAAAGAACTCAACAGAAAAACTGAAAAATAATAATGAATGAAGAGAGAAAACTAGAGCTCACTATGCCAGCAAACCTTTTTAAATGCTTCTCTGTATTTCCAGACCCTACCTATAGCTTGCAGGTCACCACACCTAAGTATAAACTTGAATGGCACAAAGTGAATGCATAAAGGACCCTGAGCTTGTTTGATGAAGCATTTGATGGAGTGTTTCTGTATGGCTTCTATGGGAGCAGCAAAGGAAGCCCCCAGGAACATTGCTAAGGAAGCTGGCAGGACTGGCAGGAGCACAGCTGGGAGCTGGTGTGGGCAGGAGGAGGAATGTCTGAGCACCAAGCCAACACAAACACAAGCCAGTTCTCTGAATCTGCTTTTCACCCCACAACCACTGGGCACATTCCTCTCTGACATCAGCAGCCCACCCAAACTTGAACAGCTCCTTTGGCCTCACATGGGACGTTTTATCAGGACAGTCTACATTTTATTTATTAGAGGTCCAATACCACGAGGCAAACTCAGACAGAATACTCCTCACTGTGCAAATAGGACTGGGCAGCAAATGACAGCTCAAGAGAGCTCACAGACCAATGTCCTCATCCCATACACCATGTCTGACTTAATACAGACATACAGGTTACTCATCTGCCTCTAGAAGTACCTAAAAATTCATTTGTTGTTTCTCTCTCACATTCTCTGGAGCTAAAAAATGCCAAACCCAATGCAATTTCATGTCCAGAAAAACAAGCAGTATGTGTTGCTAATAATGAAAAGTAGCTCCATCCAGACTTTTTAAAACTTACTTTCTCATGATACCTAGGACACTTGTGAGAAGTGTTTGAATTTAGAAGTAATTACCTCTAAGTGAATCTATTCATTTGCTGCTCAATATAAAATACTTTTGCTTTAATTATGGATTTCCACTAAGTAAATCAGGACAACAAGGAAAACTGGTACATAATTTATGGATTCTGACACTTGGAGAAGCTTCATCCAGAACATTTCAGTTGCCTCTTCTGAACATTGGACATCCAAAAAAAAAATACATCTAAGCTCACACAGAGCTAGTAGAGCTTATGTACACAGACACATGTTTAAGCATGTAGGTCTCTGGATTTTAAATAATAAGATAAAAACTAATTATCTACAAATTTTGTTTTATAAAATATGATTTTCCTAACCATATTACTAACATCATTCGGGAGTATTATGCAGAAATTAAAAAATATTTTCTTTCTTCTATCTCTAAAACTAACATAAAATAATGTCTCAGCTTTTTGAAGTTCTGAGAGGCCAAGATTTCCATATAGACATGGAATAAGACAGAGAATCTCATTGCAGCCCTAAGCACGAGCATTTTTACCCTAAAACACTTGTGGCAGAGCAGCAGATTATGTTGCCATAACTCTGAGTATGAAGTGAGAGAGTTTCTCACTCCTCCAAAGAAACTGCCCTGTACTGGGGGCTCTTCACATCTTCTGAAAAATCATCTACGAAAACTGTAAAGAACTGTGCAAAGAGGAAACTGTATTCTGGAACCTTTCTAAAATCATCTTCTGATTTCTAAACAAGACTTAAACTTCAGCAGAAGAGGGGTGGAATGGAAGTTAATATAAATTATTATTTCTAGCTCATTTTCATAGTCAATTTGTTTTATTTAAATTTAAATTCTTAAAATACTGTTCCAAAGTCAGTTTGAAACTGTAAGTTATAAAAAGGACTAATAAACAACCAGCTGTTTAATAAAGGATTTCATTGAAGCAAAACATGCAGACAGTCTGTATTTTCTCCCTGGGTGTGAGAAATTTGTGTCACTGAAATGGTGACACAAAATGATGACTGAAATGGCCATCAGCTCAGAAATTGCCACCAGAACTTGGTGCAGAGCCAAATGGATTTTTAAGAGTGGGAACACCTCCACGGGCACAAAAAGAGTATTATTTGAGTATTAGTGGTCAATAATTGGTTCAAAGGCAGGGAACCTATTCAAACCCTTTTTTCCTTTCCTTGCAGGTTGACCAGGTTGGTATGACAAAGGAATTCTGTTCTCTGTAGGCAGCAATACACAAGTGGGGAAGAGGCAGCACTATTGCATCATATGTAATCACCTTTGATCTCCACAACTGAAGTTAATATTCATGCAGATTCAGCAGCGTGACTCAAAAAATTAATCCTCAGCTGGTAAATAATAAACGTAACTCATGACATTTTCTAACATATTTAGAAATGTAAGAATCCAAGTAGCACTCTGCTGATTTATACACTGTTTATATGAAAACAGCTGTAGTATGTCTCCCTGGTTTTCAAAAAGATAAAAGTATCACATGATGCAACTATGACAATTCTAACTTTCTTTAGAAAAGGTACTATGAAAGCATAGCTGTAAAAGCTATTTTTTAAACCAAGGGTACCTACCTGAAAGATATAAAGTTACTCTGACTCATACTAGTCTTTGCTGGCTTAAGAAAGGACCTGAGAATTCAGTGTCCCTAAAAATACATAGAAAGAAATCAGATTTGTGTCAAGGAAGGACTTGACATGATACGTTAAACTTCTACATACTTTTTGCCCAATCTTAAGCTTTGCTAAAAGCAAAGCTCACTTTGCAAGATCCAGAAAGTCTGATGGAAATTTTTTTTAAAACATTTTGAAATTGTTGACTTCTTCAATTCTGCACCAAGCAGACAACATCAGAGAATTACCATTTCCCTTAGGGATAAAGCCCAGAGCAATAAACAAAAAAACTGCTCCAAGGCTTCACACCACTCATCAAAGATAAACAGCACTAATTTAATTTTTCTTCCAATTGGATCTGCACGAGAACAACCAATAGGCTCAAAGGCTGTGCTGCTTAGTCACATTCCTATTAGTACTCAAGGACAGCCAGTCAAAACAAGCAGCTGACTTTAGAGCTAGTTAAGAAATAAGACAAAAATGAGACTTTGATGCATTTCACCTCACAGGCTCTAAATCCAGGTTCTATCTTTGACTTCAGGAAACTGGATAAAACCCAGTCACCACGAGATTGACACAGAAAGCAGAATAGACAAATATCGGAAATTCTTCTCTTCTGCAGCTCAGCCTTCAGACTCCACTTCCCTGTCAGAACCTTGCAGACCCTCCCAAGCCTCTTCCTCTTCCTTTGGATTTCCTTACAAGCAGTTCTGAGGATTTTCATGAATGGAGGGAAGTCCATGGATTTTTCAGTATTTGCGAACACTTATATCTTGTCATTATTGCCTATGTCAAACCCTGAGGTGCAAATCCCCTTCTTCTAAACCACAGAGGTTTCAAGGCAGAAGTCTACTGATTATATCCCAATCCACTGAAACAAAAAATATACACTTACTTTGAATTTCTAGAATTTTTGGAACCTTCACTTTTCATTTTACAAAAGCAGCTTCAGTCTAACAGGCAAGGGATCATACAAAAAGACATTTTGTAGTACTCTATAAACACAGACCTTAAGAAAATTAATTTGCAAAATAGCGTGAGGAAGAAATAAAAATGCATTTATCTTCACATTTTATGTACCATTTTATATCTCCCAAGAAGAACTGTTGAAAAAGAAACACTGACAGCAAATTGCCTGCACCATCACTACATTGATCTTGCAGTATACAAGGCAAGAATTTGCAAAGCTGAGTATGCTTCGTTTTATTTTTATATGATTCTGCAGGTCAGTTTAAAAACAAGAGCTTCCAAGAACAATATGCAGTGCACCACTTCTGCCATCAAAATATTAGTACAAACACTGTTCTACTTATGCCACATAATGC